GGGGTGCTGCTGAACAAGGGCCAGCTGGGGTTTTTTTGGGAGGGAAAACACGGGAGAATCCGCTGTCTGTGCCTCTCCCTGTTCTTGCTTCAGCGCAGGGCTGCTGGTGGATGTGCTGCGAGGTGCCAAGCGGCTCTTTTATCCCCACCCACGCTAAAGCTGGGAGGTAAAGCAGCCAGAACAGCCCCCCGCCGTGCTGGTCCATACAGCCCCGTGGCATATTCCTGCTTTCGGGGATGAAAACAGGCACTGCCTTAACGCTGCTGCTCTTCCAGCCACCCAGCAGGTTCTCGCCACTCGGTGAAATATCTATACGGGCTTGGGGCGCGGAGCAGACCTGGCCGGTCCTCCCGTACCTCTCCAGCCTGCCAGGACACCCCAGCTCTGCCCCAAAAGGCAAGAAAGGTCCCGGCTTGCTCTGGGCCCAGCGCCCAGTTCATGTGCAAGCTTGGCAGCCCCATCCCACGACTTCTGGAGAGCAAGTTCTGCGAAGCTGGATGCTTTGGTCTTTAGGAGATGTGGCTAAAACGAACGGCCTTGCAGAAAACTCCAAAATACATCGTCACCGGTGCGTTAGCAGCAGCTCTTGCACCGACACCCCACTGCTAGTAAGGAACCCCCCCAGGGAAATCCCCGCCGCTTCCCAGGACAAGTGCTCTGCTCTTTGCCGCGCCGCGCAGCACGTTCTCCGAGGTCCTTACCAGAATGTCCTCTGAAGCGTGGCCGTCGCCAATGGAGAGCCCGTTCAGCTGCTGCTGCAGCTGCCCCATGCCCTGGGGCAGGTCGCGCGATGGAATGAACCAGTCCTGGTCTTCTTCCTCCAGCATCTCCTGGAAGCAGCGGTCGAGAAACTCCTGCTCCTGCAGCTCCTCCTCCACCTGCCCAAACACACCCATTAGTCGCAGGAACAAACGATGCACCTTGGCGTTTTCCATATGCTGTCCCCACCTGGTAAAAGCAGAGTCTGCAACGAGCCTACCTCACCCCGGTATCTGTCCGTGCCTCGGAAATGCTACAGCGGAGCCAGAGCTGTATTTTAAACCTCGATGAACATGGCTTTGCCTGTAGCCAACCCCCAGGAAGCGCAAGAGCACAAATTCCCGGCATTTTTTGAGCAGAGCGAAGGCGTGCTCAGGCATCGCTTCCTGGCTGCTGCAGACCGCCGGGGCGGGGAGACGCAGGCTGCAAGCTCACGGCACCAGGCGAATCCACAAGGGAATGGGATAGGATTTACGGGACATCCAGATCCGTCAGCACACGCACGGGATTTCAGGCTGCCAGGCTGCAGCAGAGCTTGCCGTGAAACAAAGGGGATGGCTAATAAAATCACACCCGGGAAGCGGTGCTAGAGGCGCGCGTTGTTGCGCGGATCCTCTGCTACGGAGCGATGCTGTAGCTCTGCCAGCTCTTATTTTGCTTTCTTGCTTCCCGTTCTTCTCCGGTTCGCTAATCCAGCTCTGCTCAGCCCCCTCGGCAGACCGGTGCTCTGCAAGCACCGACGCAGGGTGGCAGTCGGCTCCCGTCGAGTGCACCGTGGATGACGCCATCTCCGCTGCAGGAAAACTCCTCCTAAGGCTGAGGAAAGCCATGGGACCTGGCTCGGGCTCCCGGCACAGGGAATCGCAGGCAAAGCGAGGCAGGAGAGATGGGCAGGAGCTTGGGGTCCCGTCCTTACCCTCGAGAGGGTGCGTACAGTCAATGGGATCGTGTTAACCAGCGACTCCCATATTCCAGGCTGGTTTGCTCTGGATGCTGACTCCAGCAAAGCAAGCGAGGCAGCGAGCCGGGAACCCCGCGCCCTCCTGCGGAACGGGCACGTGGTCGCCAGCAAACGAGCAGACGGGGCGACAGCCAGAAAAACAGCGCGATTTTGAGTAGCTGTTATTGAGTCCAAGAGGGCTTGAGCGAATCCACGAACCACAAAACGCTCTGAAAAGCTTACACCCTTCCATCTCACCGGAAAACAGAGACTACAACCGCGTTTACAGGGTCCTGCCCATCAGAAACGGCTCGGGAAGGTGACCCTGGTAAATCTACGGCGCTACGGACTTTCAGGTTACTCGCAGCCGGTCCCTGCTACGTTTTAAATCACATCCAGGAAAACTGCGGGGATTGTTAAAAGCTCTCTCACAGTTACCAAGCCTTGGACGCTGTCTCCAGCCTCAGCTGCTGGAGAGCTGCTCTCCACCTGCCTTAAAAACCAGTTTGGGGCAGGGGAAAATCCCCTTTTGTGCTAGCAAAGCATACCGTCGCTATCCTCAGCTGGGTGCCCAAAGGCTGTCCTTGAAACTACGTGCTGGCACTAGCAGGTGAAAAAACAGGATATTTGGAAAAACAACACCCCGGGACTGCCAGCTCGCCCTGGCAGGTGACGACGATGACGACTGCCCTGGGATCCTGCGCTGCTACAGGGCACTGGAGGGAGCAAGCCCAGAGTTTTGGGTGTCTCAAACACTTCAAACCCAGGTGAATATTCCCTCTCCTCTGAGCCTTGGCGCTGCTGGCCGTGCTCTGATCCTGGTTCCCTTCCCGGTGCACACAACCGGCATCGGGGCCAGCGCTGGCAGCGCCGCCGGGGCCGCGGTGACGATGTCGGTGCTGGCGCAGGGGACAGAGGGGGCGAGATGCTGGGACAGGCTCACACCTGCACCTACCTGCTACCCCTCTAGCCAGAAACCATCAGCTCCTTTGCATCGTCACAACCTGAACCAGGAGAGAAAGGGTTTAGTGTTTGCTCAGGGCTCTTCTTTGGCTTCCTGTGGTATTTAATGCAGCTCTGTCACCTCCCGCCCCCAGGCTCTTCTGCACCAACCTCACCTGCCATCAGCACAGTTTCTTCTCAGCACAAGAGCCCACCACTCCCTTTTTGCCCTCCGGGATGCGCTGGCTCCATGGGAAAAGGAACGTCGCTAGCATAAATAAGGGAGGACCGCGCCAAGAAGCTCGTGGCTTTCTGGAAACACCTGCCTGTTCCCCTTGCTCAGCGCCCGGACGGCAGAAAGCCTCGCGGCGGGAGGCGGGGAAGCAGCGCGGCTTCGGAAAGCTGAGGAAGGTGGAAGAGCAAGCGGCTCTGGGGGAAGAGTCAGCACCAGATCTTACAGCAGCCCCAAGCCACCGGGGCTTGGGAAGGCAGAAGGCGGCGGAAGCCACCGTTGCCACTGAAAGGGACGGGCCTGCCGTCCCCCTGCCCGTGCCCCCATCACCGGCGTCTCGTCCTCTCCCAGGGAGCAGGACAGAGCCAGGCGAGGGGCACGAGGCGCGGCGTCCCCAGCCCGGCCCCATGAGCACCCGTGCCAGCCCGAGGACGGCTTCTGATGGGAGCGCTGCCTTCCCGACGGACGCAGATCCCGGCGCGGGACAGCTCTCCCTACCCCAGCTGGTGCCCCGCCAGCAGACGCATGGGCTTCAAAGCCCTCGAAAGAGCGACTCCAGCTTCGCTATGAACCATTTGCCCCCGAGCAGCGTTTCACCAGCAGCTGGACGAAGGGCTGAGCTCCCAGGGCATCGCTAAGGAGCTGAAGTGCAGAAGCGAGGGCCGGCAGGAAAGCACGGGCGAGTATCTGGGCAACACAGTGCCCAACGCCGGGAAGCCCTGAGGTGTTGGCTCCGTTTTCCTCCCTCCTCCATCTCTCCCCTCCACCTTGCCTCCGCTCCTCCGCCCCGGGACGCTCCCTCCGGCTGCGGTATGGTTTGCTTTGCACTTTGCCTTCACTAGGCTTTTAATCAAGACAGCGCTTTACAAACATGAGCTAATTAATCTAGCACATTTCCATCAGCACAGCTGCTTGCGGAGGCCGGCTGCTGCCTAATCACGTCATTAAATAAAACAAAAGCTTTGAGTCACAGCCCGCTAACAACTGCTAACGTGGCGCGGGGCGGCACAAGGCTGCTGCTGCTGCACGCTCACCAGGAGCTACTGTCAGCGGGTGGCTGCAGTTTCCTCCTGTGGGAACAAGACTTAAGTATTACCATATGGAGATTTTCTGCTGAGAACACCACTAAAGCTGATGAAATCCTCCTTCGGTGACCAGGGGTGCGGCGGAGACGTGAAATCCCTCTGCCCAGCCTGCCTGCAGCTCCAGGGGTCCCTCCCTGCCAGCCTCCCGACACCCCGGTGATGGGCGTCTGGTGCTCGGCCACGCTCGTGGGGACGCTTCAGGGAGGGGACAAAGCGTCCAGGAGACTTCAGGTTTCCTGCCAGTAGCATGGCTGCGCCAGCCGAAGGGGCAAGCTCCTTCCTTGCCCAGTTCAAGCTGGCTGACTTCTCCCCAGCTTCTGGGATGATGGCAGTAACGACGGCTTGCCTCCAGCAAGCTCGTCCCTGCTGCCTCGTGCTGCCCCAGCATTTGGATGAAGCCCCAAAGCAGAAGCAGGAGGAGGATGCTACGCGGCTGCTCCCTCTGCTCCAGCTCGCAGGCTTGCCTCGTTATTCCACAAGCAAGAGCTGTTCAGATCCCACCATGACCTCACCAGAAGCTCTCGAGAGCTTAGCAGGCCATTACGGACACCGCGTCTGGTGGCCAAGGCTCCTACCAAGTGGTCTGGCTGTATTTGGGACCATTTGATTGAAATTGAAACTTCTACCCGAAACGAGAGGTGCTAACCGCAAGAACTCCTTGCTGAGATAGCCAGGCTACAAACGCTCCCAAATTTTGAGCACTGGTTTTTATGCTGGTCCTCTCTTTCCAGCTGAGCACGCGGAAAGCGAAGGTCTGCGTCATCACAGCAAAGCACAGGAGATGACGGTGCCGTCACTGTCCCTCTGAGAAAGATCTGAGAGCGTCAAAGGCATCGTGAAGTTTTTTTTTTTTCCCCCCTGACTTTATCCACCCCACGTCCTTACAGGCAGATCCAACATAAACAGGATGTCTCTTCCCTTGAGCCACCATCTCCGTGCAGGGCCCGCGCCAGCTGTGGCTCACATGCGCTTCACGGTGCCCGTCAAAGGACACCTTTGCCTCTCCTCCACGCTCGCGCCTCCATTTTAGCGGCAGAAACGCGGAGCTGGCAACCACCCTCCCGGTCTTACCTGTCTGTTGAAGTCTTCTTCGTTCTCCATCCACATGTACTCTGCAAAGGGGTTGTTTTCCTTTTCATCGTGGCCATTCACTACTTGGTCCTCTTTGGATTTGGGACTGGACGCCGTCGTACTGGCGAGGTCGGAGCCATTCATCATTACTGACTCTGGGAAGAGAAATAAAGGGGTGAGGGAGCTGCCGGGGACCCCCGTGCCCCCCAGCTCCCAGATGGACGCTTGCCACTGGCCACGCTGATGGGTGACAGCTCAGGCTTCCAGCACAAGAACCTGCTGCTTCCAGGCTGCTTTTTTCAAGGCACGGCACTATTCCCGACTCCTCTCCTCGAAAGCGCTGGAAGCAGCGCTATGCCTTCCTGGCAGCGGCAGCATTTATTTTTCCTGGTTTCGACCCATCAGGGATAGTCTGAACATACTCGGTCTGGATTTAGAGCAAGGGATGACTTGACCGGCAGCTGCTGGAAAAGCTGCGAACAGGGCTTGGACAGGCACCGGCACCCCACACCCCGTCCATCCAATTTATTTTAAATCTGCCACAAAATACACCAAAAGACCACAACTAGGTTATCACTGCAGTCCAACACCAACAGCGCAGAAGCAGATTGCCCCCTACCCCTCAATACTGAATTTTTTTGGCAGAGCATACGCAAGCCAGTTCGTCTCCCTTTATCTCCGCCGTAATTTATTTTTAGAGGGCATTTCACAAAAGCCCGTTGGCTTGCGACACGAAGGCTGCTTTTTTTTCTAAAGCAGGCCTTCAGAGTCCCAGCAGCACGGCTTGAAGCCAGACAAACCTTCGGGAGTCCCGAACCTCACCTCCCGAAAGGCTCCCGGGAGCGGACGGAGAGAAGGACACACAGACAGATAAATGAGACAATAACTCAATAGCAAAATCCTACGGAATAGCGAAACGTGGACTAAGGCCAGCACAACCCTGCTGAAAAACGTCCAGATATCACGTAACAACATCCCGGATGCGTGTTTTACTCTCCCCTGGTAAAGGCTTTATCTGGAGCTGAGCTGTGTCCAGCTCCAGCACAGCACAGGGATGGATCGGAGAGCATCCCGCGTGAGCAGGGGCTGGAAAACACAGCTTCTCGGGATGACCAGCAGAAACGGGTTGGTTTGGTCTCAAGGAGGATGAAGGAGCTTGCAGAAAAATCAGCTTTTTGTCCTTGCGGACACAGAGGGGGTTTTCGGTTTTTGCAGCAGTAGAAATTGGATTTGGAAGGGGGGAATGAGGTCGGGGAGACCAGTGGTGATGATGGGAACTAAAACCCTTTGCAGGGGGACAAGCCTCTCCCCAAAAGCTTCAGGGAACAGTTAGCGATGGGCGCTCCAGGTATGCCTCACCCCACTTTAGGAACACGAAGACGAATGAGACGACCTCGCAGAGTGTCCACGAGCCCCTGCAAGGCTGCGAGAGCAACGTCCCCGCCGGAGCCCGCTCCCTTCTGTCACCACCCAGGTCACAGCTCCCGTCGGATCTGCACCCCAGCAGCCGCTCCAATCACCCAGGACATCCCCCATGACTCGTTAAACGCGGCCCGCTCTCGAGCCCAAGCAGGTTCTTCTTATTTTTGGGAGGAATCCGAAGCACAGACAAGTGCAGGACAGCCGTCGCACGTTACTCTCCGAAAAGCATCCCCGCCAATAATGAAGGTGCGCGGCCCTGGCGCGCCGACGCTCTCGGGAGCGGCGCAGCTTTAACACAGCTGCTCCTGGGCAAAGAAAAAAGGGGGAAAAAAAAAAAAAGGGAAAAGGAAGAGCAGCAAGGTCCTCAGGCTGCCTGCAGCCTCGGGACACAGCACCAGCCATGCTGAAGCAGCCTTTGTTATCTGCAGAGAAGCAAGAAAGGCTCCGAACCAAGCACGGAAACTTTGCCCGTGCCAAAGCCAACACAGCGGCTCTCCCGTGATCAGCGAGACTTATTGACGACAGACAGCGCGAGTCTGGCTGGAGCGAGTCCGCAGGGCAGGCGGGAAGGGGAACAGAGCCGCAAAGCAAGCGAAAAGGCACGAAAGGTTTGGACGGGGGAGCTCTCCCTCCTTCCCTGCCTGCTTCTCTCACCGCCAGCGCAGATGTTTGCACAGGCAGAGCCCGGAGCTCAAGGACACACGAGTTTTGAGGAGCTGGCGGGGTTCACTGCTTATGTACAGCGTCCAGAGCCGGGTCCTCTGCGCAGACGGGCAGGATCGGTGCCGGGTGGAACCGAAAGCCCTCCCGCTGCACATCAGGCAGCTGCTGCCAAGAGACAAAGCGAGGTGCCTGCGCTGGCCCAGCGGCTCCGCACCAGCCACTGCAGGGAACAGTTTAGCTAGAGAAGCAGCCTGAGAGAGGAGGGAAGTTTTTTGCAATGTTTATGTTTTTTTTTTTGAAAAGAAGAAATAAAAAGCTTCCTCTCCCCAAAACTCCATGCTCCATAGTAATCTGGTCGCAAAGAGACCTTGCTCCCCTGGTGCCGACTCTCGGCTGAGCTTTGCAGCTCTTTCTGAACAGCAAAGGGGGTTCTCCCCGAGCATTTGGCATGGGTGAGCCGGGACCCACGGCACAACCGTGGGGAGCTGCAGGAGGAGGAGAGGCAGAGGATAGCGGCTGGCCTGGCACGGAGAGGAAGGCGGCGTGCTGTGGTTTGGGAACAGAGACATGAAAGGATGGCTTGTCCCTAGTTTCCTTCCCAGGTTTATAACGCAGCAGCAGGACTTTCGTTGCGGTTCCCGTGGGCAGGACAGGTTTTTCAGGCAGACGGGGAGCAGCAAAGGCAGCAGCTCTCAGCACAAACAGATCGTAACAGCAGGGTAGCCCTGAGCGCTGCCAGCGTCCCAGCGTCCGCGCACAGCCTGCAGCCCCTTGGCCATCCTCACATCCCAGTTCAGTGCCCGGAGCAAACCGAGGGGCTCCCATGGGGCAGGCAGGGTCTGGGGATGCCGGCTGAGCTCGGCTTCCCCATTTCGGCTTCCCCCATCCCCTAAGGGGCAGACAGAGAGCTCCCAGCTTGGAGAGGCCAGCATGGGCATTTAAGTGGCACGGAGCAAGACAGGAGCCCTTCTGCAGAGTGATGCCCCTGCGCTTTGCTAGGAGAAGCAGCAGGCAGCAAGCAGCAGGCAGGAGAGGCAGCAAGCAGGAGAGGCAGCAAGCAGGAGAG